ATGGTATGAAATCCAAGTATATCTTCCATAGAAATGTGACTCACAAAAATAAATGGTCTTATTTCCAGTATAGGATATTTAACAAAATCACCAGAGAGAGCAGAGCTACAGTATTATTACAAAGACTGCATTACCACTTCAGCTGAGGTCTTGCCATTCTATATATTACTTAAACCTTGCCATTACCTAACCCTTATTGCCAACCCTTGCCATTCTATATATTACTTAAAATGGATAGAAAAGAAAGTATCTTTCAAACAGTAACTAGAAGGGCAAAAGAAACTTGATTCAGCTATGCTAGGAAGAATCATGTGTGTACTCACAGGATATGAACAACAATAACAAAAAAGCATGAATAGAACTGCTCAATTATGAGCAATGTGAATGGAAGTATCATTTAAATATACAAACATATTACAGTAAAATAAAATGAAATATGCAAGAAAGAAGAAGAAATTAAGAAAAGAATGTCAATTTCAAAAGAAAGACAAATATCCCAATATAGACGAAAACATACTTCAAAGAATGAGAAAATGCCACCTTAGAGAATAACCTAATAAGAACTTGAATTCAAGAGCTCAAAGATAACATGATAAAACAATAAAAGAGAAAATTGAGGCAGTTATAGATTTAAGAAAACAATAGGAGGCTATAAATGTAATTACAGAAACGAAAAGGTAAAATAGAAAATAGACTTCACTAAAAATTGACACACATACACATAATAGGGAATGGTTTTCACCTAAAGAAAATGGTGACTGGCTACCTAATGGTAAAATTTGAGATAAGTTTTAAATATTTATGTCATTTTCACTTTTCTAACATTTAAATGTTTTGTGGTAAACATATTTAACTTTTATAAGTAAAAGACTGATTGACCTAAAAAACTAGGTGGTATATTATAGCAGACATTGTTAGTGCCCCCCCCCACATCCCTCCAGCCTTTCTGTGGGCTCCAGCTGATGCTCGACCAACCCCAAGGTTCTCCTTTCTTTGACCAGGCTCCCAGCCATCCCGCCACCCTACCACCCCTGCACCCTGCCCTACTCTTGGAAAACTGCTTTCCCCACAACACATGGACAATAGTCCAGAAATGGCAGAAGGTTAACATACCACCCCGGCAGCCTTAAATTCACCTACCTTGAACTTCAGGTAGGAAGTATCTCCATGAGATTAATTCTAATTACCCACTCACAGTTTCATGGGCCCACCCCCTTGCTTGTGTCCCCTGCTCATCTTAAATTATTTGCGTTCAAGTCCTTGTCTTAGAATATGCTTTTGGAAAATCTAATATATACATCATACAAAAATAATACAAATATAGTAATGAAAATAATAAACGCTAAAATTTTGAAAGTTTGTCAAAACAATTTTGGGCAATTATATGATTATTTTATAACTTTTGTTCACTTTATGGTTTTAAATTTTTTAATTATAAAGAAAAAATTTATAAATAAAAGAAGAAGCAAAAGATATAAACTAAACTAAAACATTGAAACAAACATTCTCAGTGTAAAATAATAACCAATTTCTATACCTAAGCAGCACTAAGTTGCAAGCCATTTCCATTGCCAATGTCAATTTTACATGATGAGTCTGGAGGTCCATACCATTCACTATTGTCCTCAGGTCTGTATCTTCTTTCCTAGTTCCATCTCTTTCCCTATTAATTGTTTTGATCCTGTTAATCTTTTGGAATTATACTGTCACAATATTGTACTGCCCCATCTAATTTTGTGCCTAGATAGTACATTGTGTATATCAGAAAAGTCTGTTTTTCAAAAGAATAACCAATTTATGTAAAAATAATAAAGTATGAGACTAATAAAAACACTATTTATTGCAATGTAATAATTTTATAAATTATATTCAGAAACATAATGGAATTCATTCAAGATCAAAGAGCTAGTTAAAAATGTGGAAATTGTCAGAATTAAAATGGAGTCAATTGTGTTAAAAACCCTGACAGATGGATCTAGGGAAGGCAATGAAGAAAGGGTTCTCATGAACAAATGCCTGACAACAGGAATTGTCAGAAAAGACTGCAAAACCACAACCTTGCATAAAGGCGATTGCAACCTTACACACACACAAAAATACTTCTGCAAGGATATCTTCCCAGTAACTGCCTATCTAACCTCAAACTGGTGTCATCCTTATTATTGACCCTTGTAACTAATAATAATTATCTCAAAATAATTGTGTACTCCTCTTTATTTTTCCTTAAAACTCTTTGTCTTTCTTTACCCACCTGAATAATTACATAGTTTACTATGGCATGTGTATTCCCATTGCAATACCCATTGCTGAATAAATATCATTTTCTGTTAGAGTGCTTATTATTTAGATTAATAAAAGCAACAAGGACCTGAACCAAATCGGGTCTCCCCAACTTTAGCCCAATTATTTTCAAAGTAACTCTTCATTCCAAATACCCTTTTAAGCCTACTTCCTTATCCAAATGCTTGGTAGACATTGATATGAGGGTGACAGAAAAACAGGCAGGGCAGTAAGAGACAGAAGCAATAGATAGAGCTTAACATGGTAAAGCTCACGATGGCTTACTCAGGATTCAATATGATTCACTGATTTCTGCAGAAGGGATATGGGTGCGTCTGAGGGATTGAACGGGAACATTGATGCAATGAGTAGCAAGTCTGAACAGGACTGAACCAAATCCATCCATCCATGTCTGACCAGTTTCTCTTCTAAGTTAAGGGTTAGTTGCAGTCTTTGCCACAACTCCTATTCCTCTTTTGTCCTAGAAGGTCAAAGCTCTACAGTTAAAAAGAAAAATACACCAATGAAACTTTTAGATGCCTTGAAAAAAGATCCAGAATTCTAATATCATTCCAAGGCTGGATGTGAAAATTTAGGATGTGAAAACAAAATCACAGTTAAAGATTAGTATTTCTGAAGTTTACCCTTGGCATGTGTATTCCCATGGAAGGCTTTTTAAGGGATTCAAAGTTTAAGCTCAGGCTTGAAGAACAATTTCCACAGTGAGGATGTGGGAAGGACAGCCCAGGCTGAGGTGGCAGCACCAGCTAAGGCCCAAGGATATGAGAAGGACCAATTGAGGAATACCTCAAATGCCATTAGGCCTGCTTCTGATGTTTCTAATCTGGATATTTGCGAGAATAATGTGCTATTAACTAGGACTGGGATATACAATAAAGTTTTGTTTGAGGAATTATGAGTTAGGGAAATTTTAGTAGTATATTGGAGTCAGCATAAATATCTCCTCCCAACTTTGCATTCAGTGATGTTAAGTTGACATCTTGAAACAGGCTATAATGAGAGCATTTACACTGTTGAAACTGGCAAATGCTACAGAATATCACTGGTAGGAGTGATGGTGAAACATCTCTATGATGTTTGTCAATTGGATCAGTGACTTAGGAAACAAGTCAGGGCCAAAGACAAGACAGGACCTTGTATTCATCTCTAAAGAAATGATTAAAGATGTAAAGAATTTTAGATTGAGAAAGACTGAATTTGAGATTGGGAGAGATTGCATTATGAGAAATGGGATAGAAACCAGAGAGATTCTTGAGAGATATTTACTTTAAAAGGGTCAATAAAGAAGGATTCTATAAAGGAGACAAGAATTATGGAAGTAGGAGACACACTGGCATAGGTTAACTTATCAAGGATAAAAGACAAAAGTGTTAGTGGTGCAGAACTAATAGCCATCATCATCATCATCACAGTCCACATTTACTTAACAATTATTACATGCCAAGGAATATACCATATGTTTTATAAATTATCTAATTTAAATTTCAAGTATCAAAAGAAGCAAATACTATTATGCTTATTTGACATAGAAGAAAACTAAAGCTTAAATTGTTTAAGTAGCCTGTGCAAAAAGAAATAGCTGATAACTGGCATAGCTGAGATGCAGACTAAGCTTTGTATCAGTCCAAACTTTATAATCTTAGAAACCAACTCAAAGTTATTTCAGAGATCATTTAATTAGAACAGACCACTGAAACCTCACATAGTTTTATTGTACTACTCCATTCTCATGCTGCTGATAAAAACATACCCAAGACTGCATAATTTTAAAGGAAAAAGGTTTGATAAACTCACAGTTCCACACAGCTGGGGAAGCCTCGCAATCATGGTGGAAGGCAAAAGAAGAACAAAGGTGTGTCTTACATGATAGCAGTACATTTCCCTTCCACACTGCCCTTGCAGAGGTTTTCCATGAGGGCACTGTCCCCAGAGCAGTCTTCTGTCTGGGCATCCAGGCATTCCCATATATCCTCTGAAATCTGTGTGGAGGTTTCCAAACCTCAGTTCTTGACTTCTGTGCCTCCACAGGCCAAACACCATGTGTAAGTCACCAAGGCTTGGGGCTTGCACCCTCTGAAACAATGGTCTGGGCTGTATGTTGGACCCTTTCAGTCATGGCTGGAGCTGAAACAGCTGGGATGCAGGGTATCATGTTCAGAGACTACACAGAGCAGGGGGAGTCCTAGGCCCAACCTATGAAACCATTTTTTCCCTCCTAAACCTCCAGGCTTGTGATGGGAGGGGCTGCCATGAAGGTCTCTAACATGCCCTAGAGACATTCTCCCATTGTCTTGGTGATTAGTATTTGGCTTTTTGTTGCTTACTGCTAATTTCTGCAGCCAGCTTGAATGTCTCCCCAGCAAATGGGAGTTTTTCTTTTCTACTGCATTGTCAGGCTGCACATTTTTCAAATTTTTGTGCTCTGCCACCTCTTGAATGCTATGCCACTAAGAAATTTCTTCTACGAGATACCCCAAATAATCTCCCTCAAGTTCAAAGTTCCACAGATCTGTAGGGCAGGAGCAAAATGCTGTCGGTGTCTTTGTATATAAAGAGTGGCCTTTCTCCAGTTTCTAACAAGTTCCTCATCTCCATCTGAGACCATCTCAGCCTGGACTTCATTGTCCATATCACTATCATTATTTTGGTCAAAACCATTTAACAAGTCTCTAGGAAGTTCCAAACTTTCCTATATCTTCCTGTCCTCTTCTGAGCCCTCTAAACTGTTCCAATCTCTGCCTGTTACCCAGTTCCCAAGTCGTTTCCACATTTTCTGGTATCTTTAGAGCAGTGCCCCACTCTTCCAGTACAAATTTACTGTGTTAGCCAATTCTCATGCTGCTAATAAGGACATACCCAAGACTGGGTAATTTATAAAGGAAAGAGGGTTAGTGCACCTCCTAATTGCCTCACGTGGCTGGGAAGGCCTCATAATCATAGTGTAAGGCAAAGAAAGAGCAAGGGCACGTCTCATATGTCAACAGGCAAGAGGGCCTGTGCAGTGGAACTGCCGTCTTATAAAACCATCAGATCTTTTGAGACTTGCTCACTATCACGAGAACAGCACAGGAAAAACCTGCCCCCATGGTTCAGTTACCTCCCACCAGGTCCTTCCCCATGACGTGTGGGGATTATTACAATACAAGGTGAGATTTGGGTGGGGACCCAGAGCCAAACCGTATCATTTACTTCCTGATTTTGGCCATTTCTATGATCACTAATAGAGAATATGGTAGAAAAGCACAAAACAGAAAAGTAGCTGTGTCTTTGTTTTTAGTTTGCAGTTCTAACCAAAAATAAACTAAGAACTTGGAAACAGAGATGGCTTATATAAAACAAGCTGTTAAAGTTTTCTATAAACATTAATTGTCCAACATACAGTTTCCCAGTTGTCAAAGCTAATTAAAAGTTTGGATATTATCCAACACTTTAGTTACAGCAGTCTTTTACATTCTTCATCTGACTGGCTTTATAGTGTCATAGAAACTCCCAAGTAAGTTAGTTTAACTTAGTCATCACCACTTTTAAGAGTGAAAATGTTAAAAACATAAAGAAAAACTTTTTAATGAATAAGAAGTTTTAGAAAAAAGTTGATATCTTAAGTTATTTGAATTAGATTAGCTGCAGTGCTCCTTTTGAGAAAGGAGAGTTTTCTTGAAATATGAATATTTTAAAATTTATACCATATAATATTTTTATGATATTACTATAAAACTTCAACCTATTACAACGTTTTCTCCTGCAATTGTTGCCCACATGTTGACTTGTAGTTGCATGTGACATAAGACAAACTTATAAAAAAAATAAGACTTTTATAGTTCTTTTTTTTTCCTTTTTTTTTAAATTGTATTTTAGGTTTTGGGGTACATGTGAAGAACATGCAAGATTATTGCATAGGTACACACTTGGTAGTGTGATGTGCTGCCTTCCTCTCCACTTTACAAAAGAAGAATTTTATAGTTCTTACCATGTGATAGGCATTGTTCTAAGGACTTTACATATATTAAATACTTTACTGCAACATCCCTCATAAGGAAGGTACTTTTATCATCCTCAATTTACAGGTGGAAAAGAAAAGAGGCATAATTAAGTAATTATACCAGGATTTCAGAAGGGATTCAAACCCAGGCAGTCTTCTGAATAATGCTCTCTCAACCACTATATACAAAAACACGTTTATAAGATGAAGGTTATTAATATAATAGCTTCTATATAGATGGTTAAATCTGATTTTACAATGTTCAAGTGATCCACATTTCTAATGAATTTTAATTTGTAAACATAGCTAAAGTTATAAATTGGAAAAACTCGAAGTGATTTATCTGATTACCTTTAAAAGGACTAGAAAAATACTCCCAACATTTCGAGGTGTGTCAATTAATGCATAATTCATTTACTTACTTAAAGTTAGTAAAATAGGGCCAAGCACGGTGGCACATGCCTGTAATCCCAGCAGTTTGGGAGACTGAGGTGGGAATATCATTTGAGTTCAGGTGTTCAAGTCTAGCCTGACCAACATGGTGAAACCCTGTCTCTACTAAAAATACAAAAAAATTTGCTTGGCATGGTGTTGCACACTTGTAATCTCAGCCACTCAGGAGGCTGAGGCAGGAGAATCACTTGAACTCAGGAGGCAGAGATTGCAGTGAGCCAAGATGGCACCACTGCACTCCAGCCTCAGCGACAGAGCAAGACTCCATCTCAAAAGCTAAGTAAATAAATAAAGTTAGTAAAATAGTGTATAAAAATTTTAAATTATTTCTAATTTTTAAAGAAAAGTCTTAGACTATATTGGCTATAATGTGTAATATAACTATTATTATACTATAAATGAAATCTCAAACCAGATCTAATTCACCTTGTTATAATTGTTTTTCTTTACTTTTATGGAATATTCAGTTATTTATGACTGATATAATGCTGAATTTATAGTCAAGAACACACATCTTCAATTACAGCATTATGCCAGTGGCAAAATACAATTCATGCTGCAGTAATTCTATAAATTCTAGTTTCTAGTCTTCATTGAAGTGTGTTGCCAGAATTAAAAGAACTGCAAAATCAATCCTCAGACCAAGATTTTAAAAGAGAAGAAATTCTAGTTTTTCCATCATCTAAATGGAAAGTTAACAATCATTTCATGCACCTCTATATTTGACATTGTGTTGACAACATATTGGGATAAAAGCATAACATGTTCCCTTTTCCTTTGGATGTTAGGGATTGGATAGATGCTGTTAACATTAGCTAAAGACTGTGGTAGAAGGTGTGTATTTTGAAACACAGCTGCCAAGACAATTACTCACTTTCACTTTAACCTAATCTGTGGCTTTGCCTGTCACACAACCATAATCACTACAGAAAGTCACCTTTTATTGAGTAATAGTTGCTTGTGAAAAATATCTTACCTTTTAGAAGTATTGGCAATTGTAGCTAATTGCTAAAGCTAATGCTACTTTCTCAATACATCAAAATATCTTATTAATATATATTTTTTGAAGTACAAATGTATTCAGTTTCTCATCTTTCACAGTGAGAAGTCAACAAATGCAATAATTCTTTTTTTTTTTTTTTTTTTTTTTTTTTTTTTGACAGAGTCTCACTGTCACCCAGGCTGGAGTACAGTGGTGCAATCTTGGCTCACTGCAACCTCTGCCTCTTGGGTTCAAGTGATTCTCCTGCCTCAGCCTCCCGAGTATCTGAGATTACAGGTGTGTGCCACCATGCCTGGCTAGTTTTTTGTATATTAAGTAGGGATGGGGTTTCACTGTGTTAGCCAGGATGGTTTTGATCTCCTGACCTCAAATGATATGCCTGCCTCAGCCTCCCAAAGTGCTGTGATTACAGGTGTGAGCCACCCTGCCGAGCCGCATCAATTCTTTTTTTAAAATAATTCCCTTCAATTTGATGTCAAGTCAACCTTAACTTTTCTGGGTAATGTAAACTGCTGCTGAAATTAGGCAGGTATGAATTTCAATCTTGATTCTATTATAGGTTGTTCAGCTGGGCTGTCTTGTGTTTTTAGCACCTGCTCGCTTTCCTTTGCATTCAAGATCTCTCACAGGAGGATGATGAACCAATTTATTAGGAATTATTTAACTGAGTTTCAAGAGGTTTCTTTCTTTTCTTTCTTTTTAGTAATTATGGACTTGGTAAGTGTATAAATTACAAGCATTTAACCTTTAAAATAACTAAATCACTAAACAAAACACGGCATTTATAAGTTCAGCAATACAGGATGCAGTCTGCCAGAAAATTTTTCTTACATTTAGGAAACCACTGTGTAAAACCTTAGACTTCTGAGATAGCATCAATCTTTTTATCTTACATTTCTGATCTCTGGAAGCCTGGTTGTCAAAAGTACTCTGTCTTAGTTTGTAACAAAGATGGAGACATTTGCCTTTTCCTATCTCCACTCAAAAAGTTGGACAAATACATAGAACTGTATCTGACCATCTGGGTTTCATTTTAACTTTTACTTTATATTCTGATTCTTTCCTCCTCTGCCAATTACACTGAAGAAATCAAAAAAGTGAACAGTAAAACTCCTGTGAAAGAATCACTCCAGGGATCTCGGAATTTTCTTGTATGTCAAAGTGAAAGGAAACTCATTCTCTGTATATTTGAAACAACAGGACTGATAATTTAAAGCCCTTATACCAATAGTTTGTATCACATATAAAAGTCCATAGCGGAACTTGAGAGAATCCTATATGAATTTCTAACTCTTCATACATACTATCACAAAAATTGAAAACATGAAATAATCTGATAAGAATATGATTAGATTTATTTTTAGTAGTAGCCTACTTGAGAAATAATATTAAACCAACAAGACTACTTTAAAAAACATGCAGTATCCCAAAGCTATAAGAGATAAATAAGATTGTTTCATTCCTGGCTCCAAACTCTTGGCTTTTTACTTCCACTATTATACATGCCTCTGTAACTCCTGAATTTGGCACATTTTTAGACTCTTCTCCTGCCATTTTGTATATTGGTTCCTGATATGGTTTGGCTCTGTGTCCCCTTCCAAATCTCATGTAGAATTGTAATCTCATGTGTTGAAGGAGGGGCCTGGTGGGAGGTGACTGAATCACAGGAGTGGATGTCCTTCTTGCTGTTCTCCTGATAGTGAGTGAGTTCTCATGAGATCTGGTTGTTTCAAAGTGGGTAGAACTGGCTAGGTGTAGTGGCTCATGCCTGTAATCCCAGCACTTTGGGAGGCCGAGGTGAGCAGATCACGAGGTCAAGAGATTGAGACCATCCTGGTCAACATGGTGAAACCCCGTCTCTACTAAGAATACAAAAATTAGTAAGTGTGGTGGTGCGTACTTGTAGTCCCAGCTACTCAGGAGGCTGAGGCAGGAGAATCGCTTGAACCCAGGAGGCAGAGGTTTTAGTGAGCCGAGAACACGCCACTGCACTCCAGCCTAGTGAGAGAGTGAGATTCCGTCTCAAAAAAAAAAAAGAAAAAAAAAGAAAAAAGTGAAAAAAAGTGGGTAGAACCTCCCCCTTCACTCGTCCTTTTCTGCCATATGAAGAAGGTGCTTGCTTGCCCTCCACTTTTCACCATGATTGTACGTTTCCTGACGCCTCCCCACAATACTTCCTGTACAGCCTGTGGAACCGTGAGTCAATGAAACCTCTTTTCTTCATAAATTACTCAGTCTCACGTAGTTTTTTTATAGCAGTGTGAGAACAAACTAATACAGTTCCCCTGCCAGTGATGACCCTTGCCAGTGATGAGGTTAAGTATTAACTCCCTTAATCTCACTGTCTCTCCTATCCTCAGAGG